GAAGCCAATGTTGGATCAGGCCAGTGGCCCATCCAGTCCAACACTCTGTCGCACAGTGGCCAAAAATACCAGGTGCCATCAGGAGGTCCAGCAGTGGGGCCAGGACACTAGAAGCCCTCCCACTGTTGCCCCCCCCAGCACCGAGAATACAGAGCAGCCCTTGCCCCAGACTGAGAGTTCCTATCTAGACCATGTGGCTAAGAGCCCCTGATGGACCTCTGCTCCATGTGCTTATCTAATTCCCTCTTGAAGTCGTCTATGCTTGTAGCCGCCGCCACCTCCTGTGGCAGTGAATTCCATGTGTTCATCACTCTTTGGGTGAAGAAGGACTTCTGAAGAAGTACGTTGTATCTGAGGACGCGTGCGTGCACATGGAAGCTTATACCTTGAATAAAACTTTGTTGAACTGAAAGGTGCCCCAAATGTTGTTAATCTTTAAGGTTCTATTGGTCTCTTGCTCTTTCCTGCTGCTATAGACAGACTAACACGGCCACCCACACTGATCTTGAATATTTTCCTTCCATAGGTAAGGGGTGCCTAACCCAACAGTACAGACGTTTCTGTTTCACCCCAGTTAGCTGCTTCGGGTTCAAATGAAGCAACTACTGAGAGATTAGCCAATCATGTATAATTGGGATGGGGAAACGGACCATCAATTAACATGCATTGATCGCAGTATCTCGGTTCCTAACAGCCCCTGTGTTTGGGCTATGCTTTCGAGCAGCCTAGAACCCCAAGCCCTTTGGCATTGTGTTTGTCTCTTAAGATTAATAATAATAATAATAATTAATAATAATAATAATATACTTTATTGTCATTGTACATAGTACAACGAAATTAAGATGCAATCATTCGGTGATCTACAACCATACTCATATACACTCACACAACCATTCACAACCATCCCATAACTCCCTTAAGGTTCACATTGCAACTTAAACCACCAATGTCACCCAAATTCCAATTTCATACAGCGTTTAAAGCAATAATAGCTCTCGAATAAAAACTATTTTTTAATCTGTTTGTTCTTGTTTTAATTGTCCTATATCTTCTACCCGAAGGCAGCAGTTCAAACAGGGAGTGTCCAGGCTGTGACAAATCCTGCAGAATGTTCTTTGCTTTTTTCAAGCATCGAGAACTACCGTGTTTCCCCGAAAATAAGACACTGTCTTATATTTATTTTTTCTCAAGACGACACACTAGGGCTTATACCACAAATGTATAGAAATCCTGCTAGGGCTTATTTTTGGGGTAGGTCTTATTTTCGGGGAAACAGGGTATACAAAAATTCTCCTTGGGGTTAGCTGTTGTAGATTTTCCGGGTTGTCTGGCCGTGGTCTTGGCACTGTAGGACCTGACGTTTCGCCAGTAGCTGTGATTGTCATCCTCAGAGGTGTATAACACAGAAAGATGGGAGTACTCTGTGTCGAGGTGAGAAAAAAAATGGTAGGCAAGTAATTTATATCTACTCAGGAAGGTGGGGTAGGGCTGAGTCATTATCTTGTAGGAGTTCCCCCAGGCTGTGGACATGCTAATGGAGGAGCTTTCCTGAGGAGGTTCTTTTGCATATGGATGGGCTCTCGAAATTCTAATCTTATCTGTATTGCTGTTGCAAGATGTAGAGCATTTTGTGTTTTTCAGGACAGGAAACCATGCCCTATTTATTTTTAAACTCTCTTCTTTCCTGTTGAAATTGTGTTTATGTTTATGAATTTCAATGGCCTTCAACAACTTATTCTCCTTGGGTGTTTGATGATAATGGCGCCTGCTGTCTCTGACCCACTCTGCCTCCTCTCCCCCTCCCCCTCTTCTCTTTCCAGGGATACGGGGCCTTTTCACTCTGCCAGCAATGTTCTCCCTGAATTCATGTAGAAGAGGTAAGGAGCTGTTGGGGTGCTGGGGGAGGGTGCTCAGTAGGCCTCCTAAGCTTAAGCGGTGGGGCTGGTACTTTCCCGAAAGCTCTCTCTGAAACAAAGAAAAAGGAAGGGATAAGAACATAAGAGAAGCCAATGTTGGATCAGGCCAATGGCCCATCCAGTCCAACACTCTGTGTCACACAGTGACCAAAAATACCAGGTGCCATCAGGGGGTCCAGCAGTGGGGCCAGGACATTAGAAGCCCTCCCACTGTTGGTTCCTCCGCAAGCGCCAAGAATACAGAGCATCCCTTGCCCCAGACAGAGAGTTCTTATCTATACCTTGTGGCTAATAGCCACCAATGGACCTCTGCTCCATATACCTAATTCCCTCTTGAAGCTGTCCATGCTTGTAGCCGCCACCACTTCCTGTGGCAGTGAATTCCACGTGTTAATCACTGTCTGGGTGAAGAAGGACTGCCATTTATCCGTTCTAACCCGACCGCTCAGCAATTTCATTGAGTGCCCACGAGTTCTTGCTTTGTGAGAAAGGGAGAAAAGTACCTCTTTCTCTACCTGCTGGGTCGGGAAAGGCAAATCCTGGGTCACCTGTTGAGCCGAAAACCCCAGGATTCCATTTCATCCAAGGTCTCGGGAATGCTGTTCAGACATCCAGTCGAGACCCATCGAAAGGATGCGAAGAGCGAGCCGTCTGTGCAGTTCTTGATGCTGTGTGGGAACACGGGTTCTTGACTTCGGTAGCTCACGGTTCCTGTTCAG